ATAGCACATGAATGAAAGACAGGTATTTGCTGAATAGCACATGAATGAAAGGGCTCTTCTTCCTACAAGACTGCAAAATAGGACAATTCAAGGGTAGCATAGTGGCTCACTGGGTAGAATTGTTGCATCACACCTCCAAGGAGGAGGAGGTTAGGAGTGTGTGCTGATTCAGAACTTTGCTGCACCCACCACATGACGAACCTCCTCAGGGATGAGAACCCAAGTGCAGCTGTGGAGCAGGTGATACCTCAGCACCACACTATGTCGAATGGAATGGAAGAGTTTGAGGTTTTTTCTGGTGGCTGGAGCACTAATCCTCCAAGGTTCAGGACTTAAAGCCTGTTTGTGTGCCCTACAATAGGCTGGAACCCCAGACAGGTGTTACTTCTGAATATGAGCAGTTGGAAGATGAATATATGGAATTTATGCCTGTGGCTCGGTGGCATGGTAACGAGAGATTGAAATTAGATAAATTATAATTTAAGTAAATTTGTATAAATTTAAATGTACTAAATAATTATATACGCTATATTGTATATGAAAATGGTTAGATGGCTATCCACTGGATTCCATTGAAATATATGAATTTTTAATTAAAAAGGTTAGTTTATAAGGAAAAGTAGTCCATCAAATTAAAAAAAGTTATTTGTAGTCAAATTAAAATGTTATAGGCAAGACATTTATCATTTTGTTAATTATTATTGTTCTCTTAATTACTGCCTCTGAGAACATGCTGTAGATCCAAAATTGGTTTTACTCCCTTTGTATGTCCTTCCCATTCAGAAAAAAGAGAAGCACTAAATATATATAATGTTGCAGTAAAACATCAATGTTTGAAAAAGTGAAAGTTTTTTTTAAAAAAGTTAAAAAATTTCCAAAAATGAATTGTAAAGATAAATCACACACAATTACCTTTTACCCAACCTCATTGCTGGTAAAATCCAATGTTTTGGGGAGGTAATTTAACCTATAATATATGCATGCATGGTTCAAGCCTCATATTGTAAGAGGTGGCTAGGCACGGTTGGAGGGAGAGCAGGATGCAGGTTTGAGTATAAGAGGTTATTGAACAATATGCAAGGTAGACTAAGACATCTGAAGGAAAAAGGACACTGCCAACAGCAACACCAGCACCAAAACCAACACCAGCACCAACACCAACACCAACACCAGCACCAACACCAACACCAGCACCAGCACTAGTAACCACAAACACAACTAGTGCTTGGTTTGCCATGTGAAGGGTAAAATGCTGCCGCAACAGTGCAGACATACCAGGAAGGTCTGGCACACGTGATGTCATTGAATCAGGTTCAACACTATCTGTCATGTCCCTGGCAGAATATCAGTCCACACTCTATAAATGTACTTGGCAAATATTTAAAAGGTTATTGTGGTTCAGGCAACATGCTGAATAAACAATTAACAAGAATTAACAATTTAGTGAAGCAGCTTGTGTGTTTAAATTATATGTGTATAAGAAATAGCCGAACATTGATATTCTCTGACTAATTTCCAAAACCGTTGGGCGATCGATGGCTCAGTCAGCAGCGCTGCAGCCTCAAGTCCCCAGAGGTGTGATTCAGCGCCTTGCCTCCTGGCATTATGCACAAGGTGTCCAGACATCTGAATATTGTAAAAGAGAACTTAAAGAGTGAAATGCATGCCTGTTAATAGCTACCGAAAAGATTCAGATGCATTTTAGCTAGAGCCCTTGGGGACTTGAAGAATATTTTACTCTCCCCAAGGATCCCATATACTAACCAGAGAAACCTTATTGTGGAGCTCTTTTTCTAACAGTCATTTCCTTGTTAAGACCACAGCATAAACATTTACTTTAGCACGAAACAGCTCTCTTTGACACATAGTATAAAGTAATGAGAATTGTGTAAGGGAATAATGTCTGTACCTTCTTCAATATGAAATATTTTCATCAATTTTTGGTTGCTTTCCTTTTAGCTAGATTACAGAAAGAGTAAGCATTCATTATTACGTTATATAAATATTATTGTAGTATAACAGAATGCATGATTGACCCAAGCATTTTTTCTACTGTTGACATAGTGCCCACCTTTACTACCTCAGTTATATGGCTTTTATCTTATTGCTGCAAATGAAAAGACTGTAAAAGTCATTTATGAGTAAATTCAACTGAAACATATAATTTAGCAATATTGTAACACATTCCAGTTAATTTGATCACAACAATATTTTTGCCCTTGTCAGAATTTTTCATGAGTTTATTCATTTTTCCAACAATGGGGGGAAAATTGTCTATAACACACTTTGAAAATGTGCTTACCACATTTTTCTCTACTAAAAATATTCCCTAAACCACTATTTATTTGTTTTCATGCCTGATTGTTTTTATCCCTGAATCACTATGTGTTTACATGAATTTTTGTCTCTAAAACGCCCCTAGTGTGTGATTGTTTGTGTGTTCTCTGTAGTGAACTGGAAATGTACTGAATATTAAGAGAATATACCAGTTTTGATTATATAAATGATGCCGTGCAGACAAGACATTATGTTTACTGGTTATGTCTTAAGGGTATTGTCATCCAAAATGTATTGCAGAGTGCTGTAAAAAGAAGGGCAGGACATTCAAGGCTAGACCTAAGGACAGAGCGAACCAGGGATGGTGGAATCAGAAAGGATGATACAAGAGAGCCAAACCAGATGCTGGGAACTAGGACATCAGATAGGTTTAGTACTGTATGAATGAGAAACAGCGTCTCACTTGAGGACCCGGTGGTGCAGGTTACGTAATGTACCAACTAGGATGCAGGAATCAATACAAACTATAAGACAAGGATCTTGTGATATGGAACCTGGAAATGTTCATGAGGGTGAGAAGGCAAAGATGGAAATGTCTAAGCAGAAAAGCACCATAACGTAACAGAAGACTGGCAGACTTTGGCTATAACTAGACCAAGGCTTGGAACTTCACACTAGGGAGCAAGATGAATGAGCCCTGAGGTCTGCAGCCAAGCTCTTTATAATTCCCATGTGAACTTGCTAATTAGCACCAATTCCAGGTTGGGTTGCAGGTCACAGAAAGGGGTCTCCAGAAAGACAGTGACTAAACAATCCCAGCTCTCCCAGTTACACTGGAGGACACATACAAATACAGACTAATACCCTGGATAACATGCATGCTGTCAAACTTACAATGCTGCTAGGAAATAATGTAAAACAGTGATACTTTATTAGTACCTGTAGGGGAATTCTCTTCACCCAATCCTGCACTCCATGCAGGTGAGAGCAAGCTTGGGGACGATGAAAAGGGGCTGCAACCTTGTGGTGCCCCGGGAGCTGGGGGTTATGGGCCTTGCTCAGGAGCCACAGCTGGGCTTACTGGTGACCTACT